CCCCCCCCCCCCCCCCCCCCCCCGTGAGAGTACTGGACTGTGAAGAGTGGAGAAAGTGAGCTGAGCTCTAGCATTCATTGCTGTCTGCTTCCTGGTTGTGGATGTGGTGTGACCAGATGCTCCAAGTTCCTGCTGGCTTGACTGCTCCACCCCTGTGACTATATCCTTGAACTGTGAGACACTTAAGTCCTTTCTTCCTTAAGTTGCATTTGTCAGCATGTTCTGTCACAGCTGTAGGAGAAGCACGGACAGCCATATCCACTCAGCACGTAACCATGATTATTTGCTATTATTCTTATTTATTTATCGTCTGTCCATTTAACTTATTTAAGAATGTGTGTATGGCAGTGGTGGGATGCCTGTGGGCCCATGCCAGGGGGCACATGTGAAGGTCAGAGGACGGTAGGAGCTGATTCTCCTTCCACCACGTGAGTTCTGGACATTGAATTCAGATGGGCAGGCCTAGCGGCAAGGGCCTTTACCCAATTAGCCATCTCCCTGGCTCAATTCATTGCTATTTTGACATTGTTTTTGAAAATGTTTCTGAGTAAAAGAAATATTATCACTCTGTTGGAAACTTTCACATCCATTATTGTTGTGTTAGAATTCTTGACTCTCAGTTGCTGGAAGACTTCAGACTCCAGGGTGAGGGGCTCTGTTCCCTTCCCATGTCCCTTAATTTTCCCATCTCAATTGCATGTGGTCAGTAGAGGCCAGGTGTACTGTGAAACATTGGGGTCAGTATACAGAACAGATCCCCACAGGGTGTGGCGTTTATGTGTGAATACGCTGTGTAAATAAATTTTCTTATTGCAAGCAGCATAGCTATAGGTAAAGAATGTATACACATAACCTAAAAAGTGTGATTTTTTTATCGAGCTTTTCTACATTAAAGACCTCTCTCTAGATTATTTTCATGTCTTGTTAAATGTGTGGTCTAGCATTTATTATACACAGATTCCCTACTCTCATACTGTATTTGAAATATTGTGACCATACTTGGCTTTATGTTACAGCAGGGAAACGCCTGCCATGTGCTTCTTATGAAGTGAGCTGATGTTTCTTTTAAAGATCATGGCTCTGGAAGTTCATGTTCAATATCAGATGGTTCCTTTCTTGGATTTCAGACAAGGGTCATCCATCATGTTAAAACACCAGACTATTCACATCTCAAGCCTGGAAGCAGGTGAACACACTGAGGTCTGATAGCCCCTCTTGAAGCCATGTCTCCTAACTCACAAGGACCTTCCATTACATTTCACAATTTAAAGATTCATGGGCATCTCCTGACCTACCCATGGACCAAGTATTACTTATGCAGTTTTGAATACATTCATCCCAGCCTTAACAACCATAATTACCAAATTCTTAAAGAAGTTAATCATTTTTTGGTGTATGTGTGTATGTGTGTTTGTGCATATATATGTGTGTTTCTGTGTTGGGGCACATATATACATGTTTATGGAAACCAGAGAATAGCCTTTGGCTTCATCTTCAGAATGCCATCTGCCTCCCTTGAAATGGGGCCTCTCAGTGATCTGGAGCTTCACAATTCAGCTACGCTGTCTGGCTAGTGAGCCTGGGATCATCCCTTCTTACTCCACAAGCTCTGGGGTCATAAGCCTGCTACAAAGTACTTGGGATTTTGTTATGGTTGATGGGAATCAAAATGAGGTCCTTGTGCCTGAAACACACATGGGTTTTGGACAGTCATTCCAAAAGATAATAATAATAATAAAAATCGAAAGTAACATGGAACCAACCATGGATCAAAGAGAAAAGTTATTCATATAGAAATGTACAAATCAAACACATAAGTGTTAAGCTGTAAT